AGAATAAATCTGACACAAGATAAAAGTTATATGAAGATGTATTTCTCCATCTATTCGGTGTTGGTTAAAACTTCTGGATTGATATATCACACATGCTGGGTGTAAATAACAGTGTTTCAAAAGTAATAAATAAAATAAGCACCCCACCCTCACCATAGATATAAAATATAATGGGAGCTGAATGCTTCTTTCCCCAAAAAGGAAGGAAATGGCAATTCAGCTCATAATTAGTTTGACTCAAATATTGAGCTTTCTGTTTTCCAAGCCTACTTTGGTACTTAGGGTCATTTTGAGAGCTGTGCATGCAAGATATCCAAATTGTTATCATCCTGTTTTTGCTATCCACAGCTCTCAACCATAGCTGTGGTTATGCTAGTTCAAAGGTGTTTAAAAAATTAAATTAAATGTCTATGTATTTTTTTTTACTATCATGACTACTGTATAAATGAAACTCTTATTACAGAATCATATATTTAAGGTTTGGCAGTTCATAAAAAAGTATTATGGCTAAGTATATTTTATCCAAGAAATAAAATCCCAAGGTGCATTATTCTAAATAGATTCCAACATGTTTCAGGCTCTTCCCTGGCAAATCATCTTTTGTAATATAGAAAAGGATACAAAATTCTATCCCCCTTCTATCTTATGTAGATCAGAAATTCTTATTTTAAAAAAATCCTAATTTTCATCTTATTGTTTCCAAAGTAATGAAATGCCCATCAGTCTGATAGACTCTGGAGACATTTCTTTTCAGACTATGCCTCAAAGATATTTGAAGAACTCAATGATTCTGGCAGTAGTCATCCAAAAATCTTTTCAAGTTTGGTAGGACTTATATATGTGGACACAAATAATGCCCGATTTAGGATCCTTGCAGTTTTAGGCTAAGTTGCACAGTGTGAGAATAGGCCCTAGCTGTCCTCAGGCATCATTGTTGGCCAGAATTCTCTTGGTGTCTGCATATGGTTTGTGTAGCTACATGCACTTAATTGCAGCTGATTTTCAAGGTGTAACTGAATGTCATGGTCTTGTGCTTGGACTTACACAACTAAGATATGACTTGTCAGTTAGCTGCAATCGGCCCTGCTGAAATCCGATTGCACTTTGTGTCACGTAAAGGCTGTGGAAGTTTATGAGGAGTTAGGCTCATATAATCCACATGTCTGATTGAAAAACAAACAGCACTGGCCAACAGTTAACTGAAAGTTCACATTTTGCACTTTCCCTGCCTCCCACGTGGGTTTTTTTAGTTCTTAACTCAAATCTAAGTACTTAAGTCAAGTCAATATTTTCCTATGAGAGCGGTTCTTAAGTCAAAATGTTCTTAACTCAAGCTGTTCTTAAGTCAAGACCCCACTGTATGTGGACACAAATAATGCCCGACTTAGGATCCTTGCAGTTTTAGGCTAAGTTGCACAGTGTGAGAATAGGCCCTAGCTGTCCTCAGGCATCATTGTTGGCCAGAATTCTCTTGGTGTCTGCATATGGTTTGTGTAGCTACATGCACTTAATTGCAGCTGATTTTCAAGGTGTAACTGAATGTCATGGTCTTGTGCTTGGGCTTACACAACTAAGATGTGACTTGTCAGTTAGCTGCAATCGGCCCTTTGTGTCACGTAAAGCTGTGGAAGTTTATGGGAAAAACAAACAGCACAATGGATCATGCAATTGTCCACAACATACTGGCTATGCACTGACCATACACTGAGTGCACAATTTGCTGTTCAATTAGCTGCCCTGAATAAGACTTCTGCCTTGGTGCAAATTTTGCAATGGCTTCCACAACTTCAAGTTACACAGACATAGCCGTGCAACAGAATTTCAGCTACTATGTTTCAAATAAACAGCAAGTGATATTTGCACACACAGAGACACACAGACACAGACACAAGGACACACAAAACACTTGAAAGGAAAGGCAGTTGGCTAGGAAATAAACTGAACTCCATGGAGCAAGCTTTCTTTCTCTTTCGGCTGTCCCAGGTCATAGCCTGATTATTTCACTGAACAAAAGCCAGCTTAGCCAACCTCTCTCGACAGGGCCTTTCAGCTGCACTGTTTATCTGTTCTACTTGGGTTCCACCCTGGTGTGGTATGAGAGTCACTAGAATGTGTAATGAAGTAGATATTCATGACAAGTATTAACTGTAACAAAGAGAAGATGAATTGTAAAGTATATCACAAATTTATATACATAATACTGAAATAGTAATAATGTTTATTATATATTACTGAAATAATAATAAAGCTTATCACTAATTTTATACATATAACTATTGTAGTAATAATAGCTGACTAGATAGCTCAGTGAGAGCTCCTGGCTGTGGATCCAGGGGTTAGGAATTTTATTCCCTTCTGTGCTTTGTGGAAGAGCCAATCTGAATTGTCTTAGGCAAACTACATTGTCACAGGGTACTCTCAGAAAACCAAATTTACCCCTCAGTAAACCACATTTGAGTACTCTTTACTCAGATAACCCTGGAAAGGCTTGCTATAAGTCAGAAATGACTTAACAAAATAACAAAAACTATAACATGTACTATTAATACCTGGGCAATCTTGGTATTAACGTATTCTTTTGGAATTGCAGATTCTATATGGGTCAAATAGTCAAACTTTGAAACTGGGAAGCATTGTTCCACATCATCAGATGATAGTAGGGAAAAAAAGATAAAGGATTAACAGTTTTATTTACTTATTATTTAAATTTATATCCTGCACCATCTGGCAACCAGGCCACTCTGAGTGGCTAACAGCAATATAGGGGCATAATATTAAAAACACAATAAAGATAAATTAATATATAACAAATAGGGGAATTAAAACAAATGGCAATAAAGGTGGTAAAAAGGGTGATGGAGAGGGTGGCAAAAGAATGGTAAAAAGGGAGAGTGAAATCCCTTTTTAAACCTTACTAAAACTGAGAAGAGAAGAATCCTTGGAGAAGACCTTGATGTTAGGAAAGTGTGAAGGCAAGAGGAGAAGGGGACGACCGAGGATGAGATGGTTGGACAGTGTCTGCGAAGCAACCAATATGAATTTGACACAACTCCAGGAGGCAGTGGAAGATAGGAGGGCCTGGCGTGCTCTGGTCCATGGGGTCACAAAGAGTCGGACATGACTGAATGACTAAACAACGAAAACTTGCTAGTGAGAACCATCCTACATTAGGTCAAGTCCCATGGTGCAAGGACGCATGGCCTGAGAAACCATTCCATGGGCAACAATCCAGTTATCTCCTGGATGATAATGTCGATGGGTAACAAATCAGCCCTGTACCTTAAATTGAGCTGTCTTCGGGCCAAAACAAAGAGGTTCACATAGAGAATCCAAGATCAGGTTATCTGCATTAGATGCTATCAGAAAATAATTACTAAGTAAGGTGTAAGTGATATATTTAGTGTCTATCACATATTCAAATAAATGACTCATCATATCATAGCTGATGCTCAAAGCTAACATCAAGGGATTATATGTACAGGCGTAACTAAAGATTATTTTTCAGAAGTTGAATAAATGCTACAGATTACTCAAATTTACTCCATAATATAAATTCCAGTCACCTCCAGTTTTAGAAAATGAAACCACCATACTACAGTGGAACAAGCAAGTTATTGTGAATAAAATAGTTGATTTTTAATAAACTAGATATACTTTTGGATTAGCAACTAATCATACCTAAAAGAAACATACCTTATAGAAGTTGGAGCTCTCAACAAGCAACTGGAAAAGAACAGAAAGTACAAAAATTGCAAAGTGCCACACATTAAGGCACATTAAAATAATATAGAAGCATGATTAGGTTGTCCTCCTCCCGATACTATTTTCAGCATCTGGAGTTGTTCCAAAACTTTTGATCAGCAATTTAATAACAACAACAACAACAACAACAACAACAACTTTTTTTTATTAAAACATGTATCTATTCTATAATACCAGTCCATGTTTTTATAATTTTGACTGTGTCTGGAGTTTTTTAATCATCATCATCATAATAATTTTTTAAAATACCAGTCCATGCCATACAATTGATGCATACTTTTCAGGGTTTTCTAGGTATCAGGTATTCAGAAGTGGCTTATCATTCCCTTTTTCTATGGATCCTCTGGAACTGTGCAGCCAGATCCCCAAATGAATGAGCTATCCAGGCCGCATATACTTCAATATAGTTATCCCCTCACCCCAATGTTTCCATTAAAAAAATCTTGCTAACTTAAAAAACTAAATCAGTCATAAAGCAATCTTGAGTCTTGGGAGAGAAGTTCTATTGTGTTCCTAAACCCATATCCCCTGTCAACAAGTGGTGTTTTTGTTTGTTTTTAACTAAAAATCTACTGAAGGCATTCTGTTATGTTTTCAAATTGCTATGGAACTAAATATGCTTATTTAAATGTATTTTTAATGTATTCTTCTTTTCCTTATACCACTGATATCTGTCTATACTAAAAGGGTTGCATAGAGTTTGTTCTTTGTTTTCAGATGATAGTTTGGTTTTTAAAGTTTATATTTCATTTTCAGTATTTTAAACGCTAATATGATAGAGCCATGCACTTCTAGTGATATAGAGAGATTTTTCCCTCTTTGTGGACTCCGCTCCATGTCTTATTTGGCATTGGTGATCCAGCTGTAGATCAGCACTATGTAGGCTCGTGGCTGTTGAGTGAGCAACAACAACCAGCAAAAGTTAGTGGTATCCTCTGTACCAAGCAGCACTAGCTACTGAGCAGCATGGCAACACAGAGATAACCCTAGTGATTCTGCTGCTCACTGTTATGCTTTACAGAAAGAGCACCAGCTCACCAACCGCAAATCAGGCAGAAGCTAGCTGTCCTCCAATGAACCACTACACAAACTCATATTATAATCAGGCCTCAGGGTTGGCAAATATCAAGGTTTAATTATTCAAATACTAAAACATGTTTATAAGTAAAATCAAACTTCGCTTTGATGATTTTCATAGGACAAATTTAATTTAATTTAGTAAATATTATTTCTTTCAGATATTCCTTCAGTTAAAATTATACCTTCCGTGTTGTGGCCAGAAGAAGGACACTCTATAACTTTGATTTGTGAATCCAAAGGAAAACCACTGTAAGTGATTTAACACACAATATATTTTTGATATTTTCTGCATTCGCCTTTGATTGCAGCCTCTGTCTGAAAAGGTCTACTTTTTCCTTTCCTTTCCTTTCCTTTCTCTTGTTCTGGGGTGTAAAGTGATCTCTGGTACTGAAAAACCCTTGAAGCATGGCTTCATTAAGTGCCTAGGGAAGACTGGCATTGTACTTTGTCATTTATTTTAGTTTTGGGAAAGGATTCCTGCTGTGCATTTTTTTTAAAGTAAGCTATTTCAGCCTGAAAGGATGGCAGGTTTATTTGCTATTGGTATCATCAGACTGATGATGGCTACATATTCTCAAAGCAAAGCCTCACGTTTGATGGGGGGGAACGTAAAACTAACACATTCTCTCCCCCCCCAATAAAATGTTGAACTCTCTGCCTGCTCTGGTTGTCATTTACATGGTAACTGGAAATTTAATGACATATGCAAATTGTCTTTTCAGCTATCTCACATTTAAAAATTGCATTAAGAGAGTGGTGCTATATATGTTAAAGATTTATGAGGAATTTGTTTACTTATTCCTTCATAAATAAACCTTAAGCTGACCTTGGAAATATATTCAGATTATAACATAGAACCTGCCATTCAGAAAGATAATTGAAATGCTTTCCCCCTCCTATTACATAAAATGTCTTCAACAGATCTACTTTTTCATGCGCTTATCTTTTATCTAGAGCATTCGTATAGGAGCCCTCAGCCAAACCAAGAAACAATACACTATTGTGATTGCATAAAATACATGTATGTGTTTATAGAAGCTGCTTCCCCATGTTTATGAAATTGGTTCTTCCTTCCAGACTATGAACGGCAGGTGGAATTTAGCTCTAGTGCTACAGATCGCTCAGTGCTCCCTTCTGCACTCTGTTTTACTGATGGAAAAGCTTTTATCAGGGCAGAACAGAAACCAGCCTCTTTACCATTGGCACAGGATCACGCATGCATATTTAGGGTTGTAGGCTAGGTAGTGGGCTGCTGTCCTGATGTACTTACAAAGAGATCACATAGCTTTTGGAAACTAGAGTTTGTAATCAAAAAAGGAAAATAAAATAAAAGGGCTGTTTATTGTTGAAATGGTCAAGGAAGGGAGAAATTGAGATACAGGCCAAAGGAGGCTGTGTGTAAAAGTTTTAAAATGTTTTCCCATCTTTTTTAAAAAAAAATGTGAGCCTCACTATTTTGATATCTTCAGAAATAAGCTGGAAGTCAGTACTTCCTAGTAGAACTGGCATGATATGTTTTGGATCTGTAGTCACAATTAATCTCCTTGTTGCCTTCTTATGAAACAATCAATGTCCCCGGAATAGCACTATATATAACACATTATGTTAATCAGAGCTCCATGTCAGAGAGGCTACTTGGACCTCTAGAGACAATGCTGGACCTAGGAGCACCCACAAATATTAATGTAAGCCTCTAAGTAATTTTTTTAACTACCTTTCTGAGAAGACAAACCACTTGGCTACGGTAGGCTATTGCTTCCGGCCAAGTCATCTAAGGATTGTCTCTTGTCAGATTTACCTACTTGTATGGGACTTTTAGGGACGTGGTGGCGCTGTGGGCTAAACCACAGAAGCCTGTGCTGCAGGGTCAGAAGACCAAGCAGTCGTAAGATCGAATCCATGCGACGAAGTGAGCGCCCGTCGCTTGTCCCAGCTCCTGCCAACCTAGTGGTTCGAAAGCATGCAAATGCAAGTAGATCAATAGGGACCACCTTGGTGGGAAGGTAACAGCATTCCGTGTCTAAGTCGCACTGGCCATGTGACCACTGAAGATTGTCTTCGGACAAAACGCTGGCTCTATGGCTTGGAAACGGGGGTGAGGACCGCCCCCTAGAATCGAACACGACTGGACAAAAATTGTCAAGGGGAACCTTTACTTTTACCTTTATGGGACTTTTATATATTTTGATTGCAGCCTTTAGTAGTCTGCAGGAATTTCCCAACCACAATTCTGGGGGCCTCAAAGATATTTTTAACTTCTTTTTGCAACTGAGGAATAAAGCCTTCTTCTTGGACAAATTGACTCCTTGTGAAAATGGAGAAAGTAGGTTAGTGGACTAAGCTCTGTGGGAGCTGAAAGACATTAGGAGTCTGGGACTTTCCTGACAGGCACCCTATATGGAGTACAGTGGGCAGGGAAGCTACAAGACCCCTAATACCTTGCAGCTAACATAAAGCTCCCATTAGCCCCTCTCATGAATACTCTTCTATCTTATGAAGACTCACCTTGTTGAGGATGAAGCCTTTATTCCTCAGTTGTAAGCAATTAAAAATACATGAGGGGACTTTTACTTGATTTATCCATGCCATAAAATTATTTTATTATATCTTATTTGATTTTATCTCACTTATTACTGTTTTGTTGTTATTTTGTATTTTATCATTTTGCCTTGTAACTGCCCAAAAAAACTTCAGCTATTCTATGGTTTTAAAAACTGAATTAGCATAAATAAAAATAGTTAGATATTCATCGCATCACCAGTGGCTCATGTCATTATCCCTGTAAATCTATGTTTTGCATAGGCTTATTATTTTGAAAAAATAAAAACACACTTACTAAATATTGTTGCGTATGTTTGTAAATCTAGGAATATAGTTTATACAGTCAAATGATCTCAAGAGAAAATCAAGGAGACAGACTTGTAGAATTTTATCTCATCTTATTCAATACATTATTCATGGAGAGAATAATAACAGGGGCTTGAGAAAATTTGCCACCATTGTATTTTTCTCACTAATGGACACAAAACAATAATACTGCGGACTTATGCTTGTATAAGAGAAACTGCAGCTAAAGGTTACAGCTATTTAATGTGCTGGTCCCATTTTTGGTTGTGTGACTGACATGCAACCAGGAGCACATGAGAGGCACCTTACAATTTGCCAGCCCAACATACACAATTTTATTTATTCTACACTAAAATCTCAATAGGATTATGGCCGAAATCAACTAACACCTGTAACAATTAAAAAGAAAATGTTCCAGCACAAAATTGACATAGTAAAGTTCCCTCGAGCCCTGTAAAACTGTAGGAATACTTTCTGAGAAAGATTTTAAAATCTCCTTTCTTTCACTCTGTAGTGGGTGACACACTTTTTTTTAGTTTTCTTGTCATTGTACGCAGAACCCACGGCTAGATAGGACTTATGTTTTACAGGTGTCAGACAAGAGCAAGAATTTGCTCTCCCTGAGTTGTATTTAGGAGCAGGGATGACTAATAGTTATTTGACAGATCAAAAAAGATAGTTTGTCTCTTCCTTTGTCTTTTTAAGGCCCAAGCATGATTACTTGTATTAGGCAATAAAAAGTCACTCAGAAAGACTTGTCTTCTTAGATTCTCCTGTTAACCTGCTTAATTTAAATGCTCTGGAAATATATATTTTAAAATTGAATGCCTTTCCACTAATGTTTCAGAGCCAATAATCAGAAACAGAGTCTACACAAAACTGGAAATATCATCAGTATTATGTTTTTCAGAGGCAATTTTTTTTCTTTATGTTGAATATATGGTGTACATGTGTGATACAGATATTGTTACTTTTATAGGTAAAATTAGTTTAAAATGTTGATATGCAGAACATGCATCACATCATGTATAGCTACATATTTGCTTGAATAATACTACCACTTCTCCATACTCCATCTGTGCTTATCCTTCTACAATCTGTTCAGAGAGATACATCAGAGTAAACACAATGATTCATTAAAATAACTCACTTGAATTTTTGGGTTAGCACAACTCTCTGCAATCCATAATAAATAATACATTCTGAAGTACTCAGTGTGCTAAATACCGAAAACTAGATAACTATCAAAACAAGTATAGAAATTCTGATTTTCCAAAAAAGCTTTTAGCTAGTCAGTATGTGTGGTGGTAATTAAATATATATGTTGGTGTAAGTTAGCAGAGTTTTTGCCCCAGTCCAGGCAGTCCAGTTGAATGACAGAGACAAAGATAACTTCCTCCAGCACCAAGGTACCAGCAGCATGACATTAATTAGAAGAGATACTACATCTTCTCCACATGTCCACACAGTTATACACATGCACATTTACATACATCCAATCAGTATGGACATTGTATCATCCCAGACTGCATGATTCAGCATTTTGCAGACCTGTCAAGTATGGCTGCTGAATATCATAGGCCTTGTTCTGCCTCAGTGTGGAAATTATCCTTGATCTTCTGTCTTCATACACTGTAGCATTTTAAAAGATCTTGCATGCAGTTCTTTCATTAAAGTTCATTCTGTTCATATAGAATTAAATCCTTTCCAGACTGTACCATCCAGGGGTATGTGGTTTGCTTTTTAATCCATTATAAATTATATGCACAGAGAAGCTGAGTCTCGACTGACACACTTTCATAATAGCTTTCCGTGAAATATCTTTCCATGACAACTGACATAGTAGGCTGGAGGCATCTTCTAATATCTCTGTCTTCAAATGTTCTATCCATGTGTCTTGACTGTGTGAATAGTCTCTCAAGTAATGTATCATTTATAGTCCTGCATTTTGAATATACTCTGATACTGAACCTCCTCTTTTATAGGTTCAAGATACCTGCTATTTTATCAGATATTCCCCCCTCCCAAAAATAAGGAGGAGGAGGAGAATTACTGGATTTTGGGGGGGAGGGGGAGAGGGAGAGGGAGAGAAAACAAAGGAGAGATCCTGCAACGCTGAGGTCCAGTGATGTTGATACATACCAGATTTCACTGCAACAGTGAATGCAGCATGCAGTGTGATACTGTTTTTTTTAACAACAGAAATTAACCAAACCAAAGAGAGAGAATGTTTACTGTATCAGCCTTGCCTTCTGTTTGTGTTCTGAACACAACTTGCAACAACATCTATTCTTCCATTTAAAAAAGAAGGCATTTGAAGCTTAGAGAATACCCTCAGTTTAGAGCATTTGTGTGGCAGGTTGAATCAGGGCAGGTCTTTGGTGATGGCTGTGTGTTTCTTA